ACTTTGAAGATTGACATCTCCAAGTATAGGGGAGTCGAAGAGGACTCCCTCTTGAGATGGTTTGTCGAATTAGACGACGCCATAAGGGAGCGTCGCATCGACGATGGGGATATGCAAGTTGCATTTGCCCAGTCAAATCTGGCAGGACGTGCCAAGAATTGGGCATCGGGGCTCAAGTTGCACGACCCGTATGCGTTTGAGTCGTTAGAAGTCTTCAAGTCGCGGCTCAGACAAACGTTTGAACCGCCTAGAGCTGCGTTCAGAGCTCGAACTGAACTCTTGAAGCTCAAGCAGGGTAAGCGTGATGTGCACGCTTACGCAAAACATATACGACACCTCACGAGTTGTATAAGTTCCAACCTGGTTGATGAACACACGTTGGTTTCGGTGTTCATGCAGGGTCTTGCGGATGGTCCCGTCAAGACTCACCTGTTCCGACTTGAACCAGATTCACTAGAACAACCATTTCCATTTCGGAACAGGGAGACTTCAGTCTGAGACAGGCTCGCGCCAGCTCGACATCATATCTTACACAGAGACGATATGACAGCGGAGGTCCAGAGCCGGTGGAACTCTGTTATGTATAGAGCGAGAAGTCTCGCTCTACAGACTACAATAAGTTGCAGAGATGCAACATATGTCAAAAGACAGGACACTACGCTTACGAGTGTAGTGCCCTCGTCCAGTGTCTCGCAACACTGGGCGTAGTGACCGTCCACCCATGAGAAAAGGGCAGGGACGAGGGTCCGCTGTTGGTGCAAAGACGCAACAACGGGATGGACCGTCAAAAAACGGACAGGATCAGTAGGTGCGGAGCACCCTACTGGTCCAGCAACGTCAAGAGAATTTGTAGGCCTCTTGATGAAGGTTGCTCCCAACACACAAACGTTGTGCGTTGCTGCTCTAGATTATGAGATCTCACTCATTACCTTGAAACTCAAAGTGACGAAGAAGTTGTCCCTTCGAGCTCTAGTCGATTGTGGGGCGTCCAACAATTTTGTGCGACGCCAATCGCTAGAAGATGGTCACTTCAAGTTTGTTGAATGTGACACACCTCCTACGAGGATGACGGTACGTCTTGCGACAGGCGCATCCGTAACCGTCATGAAGCGTATAGTGAAGATCCACTATACGCTAGAAGATACCCAATACGACGATGACTTTGTCGCATTGGATTTGGATGACAAATTTGATGTCATCCTTGGAATACCGTGGCTCAGAAGGTACGAACCACGGGTTAACTGGCAACATCGAACAGTAACGATGCCTGCCGCTTGTTCATCAGATGGCCATCTGATGAACGTTTTGGAGAGTACACAAGCGTGTGGATGTACTACGAGTGAGTGCGATGGCCTCACTTGTGGTACGGTCTTTAGTACGACTGCACGAAACCTTAGTGTAACAAACGGTTACACTTCGGAGCAAAGTTCCGGCGGCTGTGAGGAAACACGGGCTGCGCCGAAGGTCCACCACTCGAATAAGTCGAGTGGACCGGGACAAAGATGTATCCCTAGCGGGGAACATCTAGAAGAAAAACAATCGATCGCTCAGGTTAAGCGAGACGATAATCCTAGATCGACTGGAGATTCTTTCGTAGAGGATCTCGCTGTGGTTGCGTAACCCCAGCTAGAGGAAGTAAAGGGAATAAGTCCTGATATTACAAATACGGCGGAAATAAGTTCCTCGAAACCCGCGGGAATAAGTCCCCGGGAAGCCGAAGGAATAAGTCCTTCGAGGCCTGAGGGAATAAGTCCCCAGGAAATGACAGAGACATTGAATGTCATAGTCAATGATGGATCAAATGTAGGCGCTTATGCACTTGATCTGATTGCGCCTCCGAAGTTGACTTTGGAGATCACTCAGTTGCTAACGCTCGAACATAAAAGGTTCTTGCGTGATCTGCGTAGTGGCAAAGTCAAGCAGATCTGCGTACTCGTCGCTGACGAAGAGTGTGTAGCCGACATAAGGTCAGCAACAGTGTTCACTGAGAACGAGAGAGTTCTCAGTAGTTCATCGATGGACGAGAGTGTCCTCGATGAAAAGACACGAGTTAAGCGATATGACTCCCAATCGTGGGAATCGCTCAAGACAAATCCTCTTTATAAAGATTTGGTTGAATTCAAGGATGTATTCCCTGAAACTGTTCCGTGCGAATTACCGAAGGATAAAGGTACTCAACACGAGGTCGAGCTTAAACCAGGCTCGAAGTACTTTGTCATGAAGCAGTGGCCACGGCCGCGTGAACAAGTACTTGCGATCGACAAGTTTTTTGCCGATCGTTTAGCTGCGGGCCATGTGAGGGAATCAACTTACCCACATAGCTCTCCGACCTTCTGTGTGCGAAAAGCAACAGGAGGGTGGCGGATAGTGCATGCATTTAACAAGTTGAATGCTGCAACGGTACCGGCTCAGACGCCGATACCAAGGAAGGACGTAATCATTGATGGTATGTCAAAGAGTACCATCTTTTCGTCCATGGATTTGATGGATGGCTTCTGTAAAATGCTTATGCGAGAACGGGATATACCCTATACCGCAGTTAGCACGCCTAGCGGCATGTTCTGGGAATGGCTAGTAATGCCACAAGGGCTTAGCAATGCCCCTGCCACGTTCAACAGGTGTGTATCACATCTGTTGAGGCCAGTACGAGAATTCGCGCCGAGTTATTTCGATGACGTATTCATCCATAGTCGAGCTATGGATGGAAAGTCGGACGTTGAGGTTCACAAGTACCACGTCCGACAGGTCTTACAATCATGCGAAAGCATCAATTGTATGCAAACCTCAAGAAGTGTATATTTGCAGCAAGCGAAATACCACTCCTTGGGAAGCATCGTTGGTAAGAACGGAGTACGTCCTGATCCCGAAACGATTAAGGCGACCACCGACTGGCCTGTGCCGGTTGATGTCAAAGGTCTTCGAAAATTACTTGGGCTAGCAGCGTATTTGCACACGTATTCACGCGATTACGCCGAGATGACTGTACACCTCTCTCGTTTGTTGAAAAAGAACGAGAGGTGGTTATGGAACGCTGAATGTCAGCGCTCCTCTGATGGTATCAAGCAGAGCTTGATACAATCCCCAGTCCTAGCAATTGCCGATCAGGACAGGCCATTCCATGTGGTCTGTGATGCCAGCGATTTCGCAATCGGCTGTGCATTTATGCAGTACGACCTTGAAGGCGTTAAACGCGTCGTCTGCTATCAGTCGCGTCAGCTGCAAACAGCTGAGCGGAACTATCCAGTGCATGACAAGGAACTCCTTTCCATGAAGTATGCACTCGCAAAGTTCAGAGTCTATCTATTAGGAGGTAGACCCTTCATTGTTTACACTGACCATGCGTCATTACGCACGGCAGTGAACAGCCCGCACCTTTTACAACGAATGGCGCGGTAGTTGTTATTCTTTGCAGAATACAACTTTACGGTCGATTACAAACCAGGACGACTTAATGTCGTCGCTGATGCACTCTCACGTCGTCCCGACTTTGAATCAGTCGTGAAACCCAACAGTAAAGCAGCCACTGTTGCGGTTATGACGTCCACAATACCATCTACAACGTTGTATGATGATGTGAGGCGGGCGTATGCCCAAGATGGCGAGATGTGAAGTTGTTGACATGTCTCTCACAACCATCTCGAGAATCGTTGAAACGATTATCGTCTGCGTATCGATCTGCATCAGATCGATACACTGCTCGCAACGGTTTACTGTATTATACAGCCGTTACTGGTGATACACCACGTGTTGTCATTCCAGATGATACTGCTCTGCGTTTGCGGATCATGTTCGAGTATCACGATGCTCCTATAGGAGGACATCGCGGCCGTGAGAAAATACATCTCACGGTGAGTCGAGACTTTTACTGGCCCCGCCAGTATCAGTTGTGCGAAAGTATGTTCGCGCATGCGAAGTCTGCCAACGAGTGAAGTCAAGTCCTTCACTGCGTGCACCTTTACAGCCTCTACCGGTTCCGGCTGAGTGCTGGGAATCCATCTCAATGGATTTTGTCTTCGGGTTACCCAAAGACGCACGCGGGAATACGGGTATTGCTCGTATTTGTTGACAGATTCAGCAAAATGGTACACCTTGTGGCTGTACCAGAGACAATCACGGCAAGTGGCTGTGCTTGTGTCTTTATTGACACCATCTTCCGACTTCATGGGTTGCCCCGTGAACTCGTATCAGACAGAGATCCACGATTCACTGCTGATTTCTGGCGTTCCGTGTTCAAATCACTCGGAACGCGCTTGAAGATGTCAACATCTGATCATCCAGAGTCAGATGGTCAGACGGAACGTGCCAATCGTGTCCTTGAAGAGATACTTCGAGGATACGTACACTCCTTTAAGAGTTGGAGTGAGTTTTTGCCGATGGTAGAGTTTGCCATCAACAACTCGGTGCATGCGTCCACGACACATACACCGTTTTACGTGAATGGCTTGCGCCATCCGCGTGTACCCACCTTACTAGAGTGTAACTCTGGTTTAAGGGGGGGAGGGACTCGCGCGAGCAAAAAACGATTTGGTTCACGCTCATCTCGCTCTGACGATGAGGTCATTGCGTTTGATGCCGATATCGATAACATCGATATAGAAGAAGATGATGCCAGTGCGAGTGCGGAAGCCCTCACTGAAGAAAAGATTGTTGTCGCTGCAGTGCACTCACAGCGCACTGAATCTAACGAGACAGCTGATGAGTTCATGCTGGCTCGTGAAACGGTAGTCCGTTTTGTGCAATACTCCATCGCCGAAGCGGTGGATAAGCAAAAGCAAAATGCTGACAAGAACGGAAGGGCAAACAATATTTTATTTAATAAAGGTGACTTAGTCCTACTGTCTATGGTTAATCTATCACGACATGTAGTGACTAACTTGGGTAGCAGTAAACTTCTACCCAAGTACATCGGCCCATTTCGTGTATTGCACCGCCTAGGCAATGCATACACGATCGAACTGCCACGTAAGATGCGAACGCATCCCACATTTATGTTGGTAGGCTTAAGCCGTACCACCAGTACGCTGCTTCTTCCGATGAAGAACGCTCTTGCGCTCAAGCATCTCGCAGAGAGCCTTGCGCTCTCGATGGTGGGCATCGACAAGAGTCTGAAGAGCAGTTATCTCATCCTGAGACCGATCAACAATCCCACGAGCTACCCTTAGCTCGTCACGTAGAGACGTCAGAGCTCTCTCGTTCTCAAGCTGAGCAAAGGAAAACTCAGCTCGATGCTTCGTGACAGCGTCCGCCAGTTGGAGATGTCTGCCCCGCTTATGTTCGAGATCGCCGCGTAACCCCTGTGTTACGCGATCAAAGAAGCTCTCGGAAAACACGCTTCCCCACGATAGTTTGGAGAGCGTTTCCCCTCCTCCTCCACCTCCATTAGGGGACTCTCGCCGTGGCCAGCGCTATCTGGTTGAGCAGCTGTTGAACCACCGCGACGTGAACGGACGTCGGACGAGTTATCTCGTCCGGTGGCGCGGCTATCCCCCGTCCTGGGATACTTGGGAGCCCAGCTCCCAACTGATGGTTGACGTACTGGGTCTGTTTGAGCAGTACGACGCGGCACATCCTTTGCCGCAGAAGGATCGCCGGATAAAGTCTTCCCGGCACGGTCGTAAAGGGATTTCATGTTGTCAATACCTTCGTACATCTCACTAGAGATACGTACGCACCACCACGGGATATTAAGGAGGTAAGCCTCCTTAGGTGCTCGTGCAGAGTTGCTCACACAACATGGGCACGAGTCTCCCCAGGAGAGGCAGGGTAAGCCTTTCTCCCTAGACAGACGATGCAGCTTGTAGCGTGCACCTGTCGGGGTTCTTTTCTCAAACTTATCACGAGCTTTAATAAGTTTGTCGTTCCAAGCGTCACGACCTACATCCTCAAGGTTATGGATGTAAGCGTTACACGCTTGAAGCAGTGAGGTACCATCACGTTTGTGATTCCTACTGTACCATCGATGTTAAAGAAATCTCGACGAAGAACTAATTTTCAGCGCGATAGTCTTTCGCGCTGGGGTCAAGGTGATGGATCCCTGACGAATCGAACAACCGTGTTCGATAGCGATCACTCGTCGTCGCCGACAAGTGATCCATGACAGATTTTGGAGGCAGCCATGACTTTTTTACAGGAGCGAGACACAACACGTTGCGGTCCCGGTCTTCCTGCGACGTGCCGAAAGAAGTACTGGCACCTCGCTGCGAAGTGGTGTCAATAGGAGAACCGACTCCACTGTGAGCGCCCGAGTCTCGCGATCTCGATCGCCTTCGCTTCGGCGATGGTTCATCTGATGAATCAGATGAACCAAAGATGCTACGACGCATAGCATCATCCATGCCACGCTTGGCAGGCGGCTTCGATTCAATCGCCGTTGATACAGATCCGTCTTCCGTATCAGGAGAGTATGAGACACCGAGCTCACACTCTGTGAAGACATGAGTGTCTTCATGACGAGCGTCTGCATCACGAGGTGATCCAGACTGAGACGCTATAGCAACCGATGAAACATCGATTGCAGCGGTTTTTGCTTCGGCGTCCGCACAGAGACGTGCAGACGCGCTCCTAGCGGCCTTGCTCGCGCACCGCATGGCCTTGTTAACCATGCGATGAAACTGCTGTAATGTGGACTCGGACCAACAAGTGCAAACCCTGTCCCAAATGATTTGGGACGAGTATCCGTTTAGTTAATCAGTCACTAATGTGAGTGATGGACAAGGGGGGGGTGATGTAACGGGGTGAATCGTTACATAACAATTTATAAGAAATTGTTAATAGAATATAACTATAAGAGTTATATTCTCAGAATATTGTCATAAGGACAATATTCTGTAGCACTTCCAAGTAGTTCCTAATTGGTTGATATAGGCCATTATATCAACCAACGAAGACGCGCCACGACAGACGCACGCAATGAGTGGTGAGCAGATAGTCGATTTACACATTTGTATTTAGACATAGTTAGATGAAGATAAATAGTGATTTATTGCAGGCATTAACTATTATAAATACAGTTCTACTTTTTACTTTAACCAAGTACTCGCTTCTTCTTACCGCCTTCCTCTGCACGTACGAGTGTACGTGAAGTTACGCGGCACCGCCTTATTCTGTCGTCAGAATAAGTAGCTTGTACTGTCATTAGTACAAGCTTCAGGGTGCCCCGTTACACGCGGGCTCATCGGTACCATCGGCCACATTGACAATGACAGAGTAAACCTCTCCACTGCGATTCTAACATTCTCCGTTGGGAAGGAAAATAAACGTTTGACGAAAAACGTGGACACTGACAAGGAGCCCGAAGAACGCGCTTGGGAAACTCAAGATCTCCGCGGCTTAGCCACGATGTGTCTTCCCGCGCATGCTCTTTATGTTCATGGCAGTGTATGCTTTAGTGATGGAATTATTCTCACTTACGTAATAACATCACATACTTTGAAGTCCACTCGTGTGCTGCTTATAATCATGCTCGTACGTGTAGATCGCATTACGTCGATCATGATCAAATGCAGAATAATACTAATAATTTATAATGGTGTCCTGAGTAGTTTGAACTCAATGCATTACAATCTGCACCTCACCAAGCAATTGTGCGCTTTCTGACACATGTGAATCGACTGCATAGCTGCCCTGGTCTCCTCAAAATGTGGATGCCGTACGTTGTTTCCGCTTGCTGATACAGGTAAGGTGTTCGAGCCAGGGTCGTCACCGTCGCATCTTCCATAGTGCTGAAGGGGTAAATTGAAGTAACGCTTGAGCGCGTACACCAACGAGCATGTCAAGAGCTGATATCCTGGTCTCCGCTGCACGTGGTTGCAATTAAATACATATGTTCAGAGGCACCGCAAAAGACACAACACTCTCTTTTAACTTCATCATTAAGGGGAAGAGAAAAAACACCACCGATTAGCCTGATTGTAAAACAACACGTGACTGCTCAATTGTTAAGTGAGCTCGAGCTCGTTTACACATCTTATGATACGCTTCATGGATTCTATGTGGTAGATTACGCATCCCTCTACCGAAATTTAAGCTCGTCAAAATCCTATGAGTCAAGCTGTAGGTTTTCCGGAACAAGACGATGCTTCGTTTTCGACTGGCATATCCGTTGCTCAAGGGACTATCGAGAATTATCTTCTGGTCGGTACTTAAGGGGATGCAAAATTACAGTAGTCTTATTTTGGTAAAATCAAGGTAAAGGCTTGCAAAACCTCCCACCTACCTACGTGAGATCTCGAGTTTCATTGACGAAATCTATGATGCTTATCTTTAAAGATATGCTTGTGCGCGCAGGCTTGTTGGCAGGAGCTCATCGGTCACAGGATCACGGAACGCTGTAAGCTTAGCTGCTTGCATACTTATTTGCATATTGTGCACGTCGCCAGGCACCAGAGTTTTATAATGTCGTTAAGAAACGTCTTCTTTAATATCATCCTGGGGAAGACAAGGAGTTTGCCTAAGTTGTGCGCAAATATGGATTTATCACAAGCAGCCCGTGTCTTACGAGATTATGATCGAGCGGGGAGGAGTGTTACCCCACAGATGAATTCTAGCGCAGGCAGTAGCACAGATTTATGGGAAACTGGCAATTCAGCAACTATGAGTACTAGCAAAGCGCGATTTTTGGCGGGAAGACGCGAAAATTGGGGCGCACGCCTTTACTATAATGCCACAGTATACTTGCCAGGCAACCCCGAGGCCCGTAACCTTAGGCGACTGGCCCGAATTAGCCAGAAGAACCAGCTTTGCTAACGAGCTTCGGGTCTACCAGACATTCTGCAACCATTAAACAAAGGTTAGATAGAATCGTCTGTCTCCCTCTACATTTATTTATTAGCGGCTTTATTGCCAAGGCTTTCCGCATCAATTAGAAACTACACTAAAGTAGGGCTCTATCTTGCAGCAACGCGTCCCGCGCATCCCGTCTCTCGTCCACACGGGATGATTATATTTTTTAAGTGCGATGTAGTATGTCGCCTCCTTTGCGTATGTCTGCAAGTAAACGCTCGGTGTACCTTAGGGTCTGTAAAAACCGCGATGCAGCATTCGTATTATCTTCACTGGTCAATAGGCATAACAGTCAGCTCCCTCTATAGCATCCCTGATTGTTTACCCCTAATTTGTATCTTATAGGGGGAGGATGTTATTCAGGGGATGTTTTACAGTCAGCTTTCTCTTTAACATCCCTATTTGTTTAACCCAATTTGAATCTTGTAGAGGGAGCATGTAATATCAGGGGATGCTAAATAGGTAAATGACTGTATCGCGAGCTTTAAAGGTGAAGCTAATAGTGAATGAGCGAAAGGCATACAGAATAGGCCTCAGCTAGGGAAGGTAGGACACCCTTCGTGATCCGGTAAATCCGTAAAAATTAGTGTGCCACTAATTTTTATGGGTAAAGGGTAGTCAACGGGTAGGGTAGCGGGTAGGGTAATGGTAAAGCCGATTTCATAACCTTTTTACCTAATAATAACAAATTTACAAATAATTCAGTCGGACTTAAGGACTCTCTGTAATTTTTTGCGTCTTGTGAGCAACGGAGTCCGATACGGAGGTTGCTATGGAGATCCACTGAGCTCTGAACTCCAAGAGTGCAATAAGAAATTTATCAAGTGTCACAGCACACGTCTTCCCGCGTGGTCGCAATCCGAAGCGTATATAGTCATGGAGGGCGCTAACGGCACCGGCGACAACAACAACAATGCCGACGTCCAGACCCGCCACGATTATAACAATGAGAGGTTGATCAGTTACATGCATGCATATACTAATTCTTTTTTTATTGCAGTAAATGCACATACATTAACAGGTTTCCTACGCTCATTGATGGGTGCCGGTCACCTTAAAGTGCCGGCGAATCAAGCGCAAGCGCAAGCGGCAGCGCACTCGTACGGTCCAGCGCCAATGACGTGCAATCCGTCGTCGTTTGGATCGAGATGGGTCTGAAGTATTGGGATGAGGAACCCTTGACAATGGGGTCATTTGCTGCACAGTCAATTCGCCGATATGGTATTTGGGTCGGAATATAAGCCCATATAAAAATACTGCAAGAGTGCATTGCATCGCTTTATCACTGGGTGAATACAACTTGATCCTTTTAGATACCACTAAGCCCATTTTTTTTAAAGGCCAGCGATGGCGTCATATCATAAATACAGCTGGAACTCCACGATTTCCACTCATCATTCAAAGGCTTTTTACCGGGTAATCACCTGGGTAATAGTGTAGAGTAAGGTAGATGTAAATGTAGCTATAAACTATCCTAGTATAGGTTGTAGCATATAAAGGTAGGACAAAACTATTACCCCGTAACCTTTTACCTTACCTCGCCGAGTCCTGATACAGAATTTGATTTAATTCTTCAAAATGGATGACATACATCAGGGGGCGAGCTCTAGAGCTTGCTTCCCTATCTTTGTATACATAACGTCGAGATTCGATCCATTTTATACATTCAGTCAGCTCCCTCTTTAACATCCCTGTTTGTCTACCTCTAATTTGGATCTCATTAAGGGAGGACGTTATATAAGGGGACGTTATAGCGGGAGCTGACTGTGTATAATTCTTTCGGGGATATAGAGCACATTGTATGTTGGAGCCATCTTTTTCATGTCGTATACATTGTCTGGTTCATTACGTATTACTAAGTTATCGAGCTACCTTTTGCCAAGGCATGTATCAAGGCGGTTAAAGGTGCTTTTAAAGATGATTTAGATGCCCCAACGACGACCCGATGGACATCCGGCATCTACTGGGGGCTCTACTTTTGGTGACGGTTATTCTTTTGGGAGTCAGTGTGAGTTTCCGGGCTCAACTTTTTGCGCTTTCAGCTGAACCCTTTTGTCAATCGCTTCAACGCTTCGTCAAGATTCCACTCTTCTACCAAGCACTCATTGGAAATGGCACCTGGTGGCTGCTACTCGATCACGAACCATGTAGAGTGTAATCGATGAATTGGACTTGCAAAAAAGCTGAAAACGCTGCTATTTCGACAAATGTTGGACTGCTTATCCATATCTGCTAATCAACGGCTGATGGTGCTTTTTGTCATAAGATTCAGGCGTTATGGCATGCGTCATGGACAATGCGACATATTCGGCGTTGTACAGGAGCATCCAATGTAGCACCGTCATGGCCAAACCGTAAAGGAAGTCGCTGCCTTCAACCCGATCAGCTTGCACGAAAGTGCACATGCCCATGGTCATTAGTACCTACCTCTCTCTGAGATTGACAAGTCATAGCCGAGCAGAAAACTCTTGAGAAAATTAAGGAGCGCCTATACTCATGTGCAATGCTATTTAATCTCCTGTCGCACTCAGCTCCAATTGACATGGCCTTCACCGCAATGGCGTTACATCCACGACTTCTGATCGAAGCGATCGACAGACAGTGGCCATCATCGTTGATAAGACGCATCAGTACGAGTACAGTGCGTTCGCATGACGGCGAGACTACAATTAAATTGCAGCTCGTTGCACTAGGTCATGATTGATCGTAGTATCCACTGTCAACATTTACACATATTTATCGATGACGAGATCCTTGTCACGGTCAAACAGTCCCGACCGTTTAAACTGAGCGTCCTGTCACAATCAACAACAGTACAGAGCGTCCTGTCACGATCAACCAGTACCGACTGTCCAGACCGAACGTTGAACAGAAGACGCGTGTCGGTGAGTTCCTTCACGTATTACTTTTAGTCTGGAAGACAAGAATCAGTGCCTTCACCTTTCCCTAGAAGACAAGAACCAGTGCTTTCACTTTTCATCTTTCTTTTTGCTTCCCACTTTGTGTGTTCAACAACATCAACAGATGTCATAAACAAAGCCTTGGTCTTGTGCATAGACACCAATGCTACCTTTGCTTGTTGCGAAAATGAATAGGAAAGGTGTGTGGTAGTGCTGTGTTGTTGATTGTGTAGCTCAGAGATGACGTGACAAGTGCTGACAGGAGGTTGAATAGTCCGCGAAATGTAAATACCGAACCGTTCAGGGTGAAAGTACATTTCAGTGTGACAAGTATATAGTGCAAGATTTGTCGTGGTCAATCAGAATCCATGAATTTCAATGGATACATGAACGCATGCGGTGGGCGATGATTGGAGAAAAGGTGGCGCTGAATGGTGATTCCTCGTGTTAGGGGCGCGACTGCACTCACTCCGCTCTTGTGTAAAAGACATTGAGACCTCGAAATGTCGGATATGCTGCATCCGCACGAAACGCGTTCCTTTTATACATCGATGTATTTGATGAACATCGTTCGTACAAAAGATTCTGGCATCCTTCGAATGCTTCGACCGAAGGCATAGCAACCATGCGTCCTAAAAACATGATGGAAGAATTTTAGCTCATTGTAAGCTATGTGAACAAACGCCGACGAAAAAGCACGGAAAACCCATGCATTTTGACGATCAAGAAGCCGAAACTGCAGGATTCAAAAGACCGGCGAATCCAACCCTCTCTTACTTGTCTGCTCAGTTCAGAAAGTAAATGAGATCCTTCAGGACAAAGCACAAAGCGTTGCGTGCAGCTCGGTGTACAGACTGTGATGTTAGCATTTACAGGCGATGCCTTCAGCTTGAACTGTGTATTGTTGAAGCTGGTGACAAAGACATCGAAGGCAACGACAATAGCTCCATCGATAGTACAGTTGGGTAGGCGCTCGCTACCTGTCAAAGTCTGCAAGCCATTCGCGTCGATGCCTTTGTCTTTAATTACAACGATCCACTGGTCAAGCTTTAGATGCATGTTTACGATCATAAGGCTGACAGCTTCTACCCCGGCTAGCGCGCTCACATTTGCGGTCTTGTCCCTACTCTTAGCACCTAAAGTAAACCATAGGCTGTCGGAACCACAAGAACAGTGTGAATGAGCTTGACATTGAGTTTGAGTTGCGGTTCGCAGAAGGGAGGTGGTTCAGATAGTCTATTTCCATGGGTTATTTGCCTGTGGCAAGATCTCTGGTCTGTCCTCAGCCAAAATATCAACCCCGGAGGGTGACCCGGGGATAGACCGCGGCTGCCAATAATTTGAACTGGGGTGATCCACTTGGTTCTCGCTTCAGCAGCGTATTTTGCAGAAGGGAGGTAATGGATGCAATAAACTTTTTCTATAGACAATGCTACCACCAACAGCAATCGTCCTTAGTTGGAATGCGTTTGATGTTGCACATATGTAGCTAATGTCGCTCTCAATATGCGCCTTCGGGCAACAACGGCCAAGCGACGAAGACCTATAAAGAGCCGAGCGACCGGCCCTCTTACCCTGGGTGGGAAGTCCTCTACCGTTGGCCCCAGATAAAAGGAGGGTGACCTTATTGCTGCTGCGTGTGCGCACACTACGAGAGGCAGCGCAGGGTGTAAACTATAAGGGGAGTAACAACCCAGACACCCCGAGGCGAGGGGCACGGCAACTGCGGTTGTCACCCCTACCTAGTACCTACTATTCTACTTCAGCCTTCGAGTTTTTAGCCCGGTCGCCGAGCATGACTCCCGAGCCCCACGAAGCAAACTTGCATAGAACGTGATCAAGATAGGCCTAGTCCAGGTGCGTCAGCGGCCCATCGGGTGTGATCGGTCTGGTACCGGCATTTCTTGCGACTTCAGCGCCCTGTCTGCATCCCGGACTGGATATCCGATTCCACGTGCCTTCTGCGAAGTGTCCCCCGTGACAACCGAAGAGCCGAGCCAAGCAGACTTAGCCAGCGAGAAGAAGATGATGTAGTTTAGGCAGCAGCACACCGATATCGTATAGGGCATAAGCACTTTATCGACGTTCAGGATTTACCATGCAGCCAAATATGAACATCGAAACGAGTCGATCGTTTCCTGTTTGTTAGTCTGGTTCCTCCGATCGAACGGCAGGTGCTCCAGCATACCGCCCCGTCTTCTACAGAAGGAGCACCATGCACCGACCCGACGATCAACTGTATCTGCTTTTTTTGGAAGACGATGCAGTCATCCCACAGAAATTCAAGCTCATGTCTTCAAACAGGGCACGCCGGAGCTGATCCATGGATCCACAAGCCATCGCGTGCTCCGTTTCCTCATGTTACTGCTGTCGCATGTTATGCGACAGGCGCGCACGTCCGATATGTTCCTGCGCTGCATTCTTGGTAATGGCTCGCAAATAACAATCTTGTTTACGGATGCTGAGGTTCCGTTGGCGTGATCCAAAAATTTGAAGAGCGGGAGGAAAACCGATTGTGCAACCAAAAAGGATTTCGACGCACGCATGACCACGCGAGCTCGCTCGTAATTGGTTCGTCACCTCAACTTGGTTCTGACTCGTTCGAGGAACACGTGTGCACTCCTCCCCCACTCCTGCTCCAATCGTTACACCATCCAGTATACAGTCACGCGTCGTCCGTTCCCACGCAGTTCGGGTCGGTCTCCACAACTGATCACTCACTTGTCGACTTTCCTCGAGAGCGACAATATACCCACCCAAACATCTCGTTGCGACTTCCTCGCTTCCTCCGCATCTACCGTAATGAAGTCAAAGTTTGGCCGCACCAAACCCTACGCGAATGTTGGCTACACTGGTCATATTGACCCTCCTCGAACGAAGCCCTTCAAGGCGGATTCGAACGATCTCTCAGAAACATGCGGCGCTGAATCTAAGGCTTAAACGGACACTGACAAAGCGCCAGAAGCAGCCACCCCGGACCTCACGACTGCTACGACTCCGTCCAAGTAGCAGATCCGAGCTTGCACTTTACGTTCGCGGCGGGTGTTTGTGCCTTAGTACTGTAATAATGTCATAAACATGGTTACCCTATACTACAGAGTCCACTCGTGTGCTGCATGCCATCAACTTCGTACATGTACATTGCATACTCAAAAAGGTGTTCGAGAGTGGTCTTTATCATCGCTACGTCCAGTATGCTACAAATGCTTCGTGCAGTAAGCAACGTTTGTCTTTACATTCTATATTAACGATTTCATCGGGACCCGATATTTGGTGTTCCGCGGTCGTCGGCGTGTTAAGCACAAAGCTAATTGGAAGGCGCTTTGGCCAAGCAGAGTGTATGCAAGAATGCATTTTTGTTGCGGTGAAAGGCTGTGTTCGTGACTTAGTTTCGCATGACGTAAAATTGTCGTAAGAAGGTAATGTGCATGTTTGCATTTAGAAATTACCAATTAATTGCAAAATGAAGAAGACCTTCGTAAATGCCTACTCAAGTATAATTGGCTGAATAAAAAATACATCATCAGCACAGAGGATTGCGTGATTTAATATCAAGTATGAGAATCGCATGATGTAATGTGCACCACCTCACTATCTTCGGTCTCCTGTAAGTGACATCCGCGGTGCCTCCCCACCTCCAGTCCATACAATATCCAAGTACACGGTCCCACGTCGTCCAGCCCGTCCTCGCCCGTCCCCCGCCAGTCACTCGACTCCTTTCATCATCGTCACTTGTCCATCTCGTCCAAGAGCTCCGGGAAAAAAAATGTTCGTCCGCAAGCTCGTTGCTACGCCCGTGCGCTTGGCCACGCGGTCCATGGCCCAGTTCGACCGCTCCAAGCCGCACGTGAACATCGGCACCATTGGCCACGTGGACCACGGGAAGACGACGCTCACGGCCGCGATCACCAAAGTCCTTTCGGAAACGGGCGGCGCCGAGTTTACGAGTTACGCGGACATTGACAAGGCGCCGGAAGAGCGCGCTCGAGGGATCACGATCTCGACCGCCCACGTGGAGTACGAGACGGAGAAGCGCCACTACGCGCACGTCGATTGCCCGGGCCATGCGGACTACGTCAAGAACATGATCACGGGCGCGGCCCAAATGGACGGAGGGATCCTGGTTGTGTCCGCGGGAGACGGGCCAATGCCCCAGACGCGCGAACACATTCTATTGGCTCGTCAAGTGGGTGTCCCGGCTCTGGTCGTGTTTATGAACAAGGTGGATCAAGTGGACGACGAAGAGCTGCTGGAACTAGTGGAGATGGAGATCCGAGAGCTCTTGGAAGCCTACGACTTTCCAGCTGACGATATCCCAGTGGTTCAGGGCTCTGCTCTGGCTGCGGTAGAAGGACGGGACCACGCAATTGGACGCGATGCCGTTCGCAAGCTGATGGACGAAGTGGACGCGTACATTCCGGATCCCGTGCGAGACTTTGAAAAGCCGTTTCTCATGCCGGTGGAAGACGTGTTTTCCATCTCGGGACGCGGAACGGTCGTCTCAGGGCGTGTTGAGCAGGGCGTGATCAACACGGGCGACGAGGTCGAGCTCGTGGGCCTCAAGCCCAGCTTCAAGGCCACGTGCACGGGCGTTGAGATGTTTAAAAAGTCGCTCGACCGCGGACAGGCAGGAGACAATGTGGGTCTGCTGCTGCGAGGCCTCAAGCGAGACGAGGTGCTCCGTGGCCAGGTGCTGTGCAAGCCGGGCACGATTGACCCGCACACGAAGTTTGAGGCTGAAGTGTACGTGCTCAAGAAGGAGGAGGGTGGTCGCCACACGCCGTTTTTCAGCAACTACCGACCGCAATTCTTTTTCCGCACGGCTGACGTGACGGGCGACATTTTGCTCAAAGCTGGCACGGAGATGGTCATGCCGGGCGACAACACGGCCATCGACATTGAGCTCATTTCTCCTATTGCTCTGGACGCCGGGATGAAGTTTAGTATTCGCGAAGGCGGTCGCACCATTGGGGCTGGTGTTATTTCCAAGGTCCAGTCGTGAAGACCTTTTGTAGAGTCATCGACTGGAGACGATCTGCAGAAAGACATGGTAATTGACGCGTGCAGCAGAGCTCTGTCTACTGTCGTAAGCAACAATACATACATTTAGTAAAGTCCTGTTGCAGTAATGTCATTAATCGTGTACCTCAATGCCCCTGCACCTATAGCCCAGCACGGTGTCAACTGCGGGATCATGCAGGAGTGCCTCAACCAAACCCATGACCAACATGGGACACGATCGACTGCTCGTGGCTGCAGCAACATCATCAGCATCGTACATTTGGCGAGTATGAAACTATGTGTATCATCATTTTATGTCCCCTGTGCGCTTCTCCCATTACCCATAGCAAACTTGGCAAGACAACGCTCAAATTCACGTCCAAGTCGACTTCCAAGAGCCCCTCTCGTCTCTCGCACTCACCCATGGCAGCCTACGACGCAGCCACAGATGCAGCCATCGCCGCCTTCGCAGATGCCGCTGCGCTGCTCGTCGCCCGTGACTCCGAGATGGAGCTCTGATACGTGCGAAAAGCATTGACAATGTGCGGAAAACTCGGCCGCAACTCTGGCTGCCGGTTCCAACACGCCTTCATCAAGCGCGAGAAAAAGGGCGGACAGTCCCGCGGGATGTTGGGCCGCAAGTTGCGGTTGAGCACGCCCAGCGCTGCCTGGATCTGACTCATGCCGTCGTACGGACACTCGCCCGTGACAATCTCCCAAATGACGATCCCAAACGAAAACACGTCGGCCTTCTCCGTGTACTTCTGGTTGCCCAAGACTTCGGGCGCCATCCACTGCACCGTGCCACAGTTGCCCGTCATCGTCTGCACGTGCGCCTTGACCCGCGCGAGGCCAAAGTCCGACAGTTTAATGTTGAAATTCTTATCCACCAATAGATTCGGACTCTTAAGATCCCGGTGCAAGATCGGGCGCTCAAAGTGGTGCAAGTACGACATGCCCTTGGCCGTGTCGTAGATGAAGCGGGACCGCATCTCCTGGTCAATGGACTTGCGGTTCATGCGCAAGACGCCCCACAACGAGCCGCGCTGCAGCAACTCGACGACGAGCGCGCGATGTGGCGGCTCCATGCACGCGCCCAGCAGGCGGCAAATGTTGGGATGGCGCAGCACGCTCATGATCTCGACTTCGGACTGGAACTCATTCAAAATGTCGCTGCGCAAGTCCTGGCAAATGAGCAGCTTGACCGCCACGCTCTTGTTCTGCCATTTGCCTTCGTGCACTTTGCCGAACGCGCCTTCGCCAATCATACGGCCGAGCGTAATCTCGTGAAAATTGATATTTTGACGGTATCCGTTTCCACGGGGTTTCCCAGCCGCACCAGCGGTTGCAATTGCACTTGTCCTGTCTTTACCCACTTCCGCATCAACAACTGGCGGGAGTTTCGTCCCCAGAGCGTCGCGCTTTGCTGCCTGCACCGCCGCAACGCGGTGCTCGTTGTGAATGTCGTGGCCACTTATAATGGTCTCGTTCGTGTTGGTCGATGACGCAACGTCGTCACTCGGAGTACTCGAGTCCACGACAGCGGCTGCGGGCGTCGTCTCTTTTATGTCGTCGTGGCCCGCATTGAACCAGGCCGAGAGAAAGTGCGGGATTTTGGCCTTTTTCGCGCCGTCGAGTTTGAGTTGCTGCACGGGTTCCATATGTTGCCCTATGAACTCGGTGGAATTCCGACGGCCGCCAGGTTTGCGACCGCGGTCATTGCGGACCGTGGCCACTGATGCCTCGTCTGCCGTCGACTGTAACGGTTGCACTTGCTCCTTGTCGTGTTGCAGCTGCGGTGGTGATGGTGGCGGCGCCCGTTGATTGGCCTGTTCAGCCCGTTCGGCCCGTTGATTGGCCTTTTGCTGTCGACGGAGCTCTTCACGAAAAGCCGCTTTTTGATTCAGATCTAAAGTTGCGGCTTCCGAGTCCACGGGCGCGTCAACTGGGGCTGGACGTTGCGGCAACTTAAGCGCCCGTCGCCCCGCCCCCGCAGCGGCAGTGCCCATTTTAATAGGCGATCCCACCGTGCCGAAAAAAGTGCTCGTGCGGGTGGACACGGCCGAGGGGTCAACACACAGCGCGTTCGTGGGTTTCTTGCGGCGCTGAAACGTCATTTTGCGCTGATTGCCGCGTACTTTAGCGTTCTCCATGTTGCTCCTGTGCGTTTTGCTCTCGCTTGTAACGAAATGCTTGCTCCAAATTTCCTCACCTAAAGCGAGAGGGGGGGAGGGAGGGAGGGAGGGAAATTAGGTGCGAGTGGGAGGGACAAGGGACGGAGGCGCGACCTTTGGGCTCGAGGGCAAAGAGAAAAGTGGCCAAGACGATTCGATTATTGTTCCGTTTTTCTTCTTCTTGACTGCATGGAATGTCACTATGTATACGCTCGCTCTCTTCCACGTCAAGAGTCAGACAGACATTGACTATAGTCGATCGACGAACTGAGTGAGTGACTGACTGACTGACTCCCTCCCAGCTGTGCAAAGTGACTGACTGACTCCCTATCAGCTGTGCAAAGTGACCGACTGACCGACTCGCGATTCTCTCCCGCAGCGACAACCACCAATCCATGTGTTGATCAATTGCAAATGGACGGGTTCCCCCTAGCTCAAGGGTAGTGGACACAGCAGTGCGTTGCTGATAATCGAATTCGATACCACGCTTGCACATTGTCAATGCTGCTACTAAAGTTGGCTGATGTATTACTGTGTCAAACGACGATCTCGAAGCACGAAAGTTACTTCGTACAATCGCTATTCCACAAAGAGATCTAAATTCTGCTCGAGATCATTCCATCAGGTCCATGTCGCTAGCGCACGTCTTTTTTGCACAGCTGTCTACGTTCCCTCTCTCCTCTCTGCCGCTCGAAGCTTTTGTGAATGCTCTTCTCGTGGCTATTCAATCAATTTTGCATTCGACTCCACTATCGTAATCAGTCGTAGCGAGCTCAAGTACTTGCTGGACGTGGTTTTACTTGCGCGATAGGTCACTCATACGGACGTACCCGTTCCACTAGTACTACTTCAGACATAGATAGACAGACATAAGGTTGCGGCAACCCGCGACCGCTGTTTTATGACCCGACGAAATAGGTCGGACCGTCCCATCGCCGACAGATGGGTATGCGATGCTCGAATCTGACGGACGTCAAGTTGCAAGCCACTCTTCAAGCAAGTCTGGGCGAGGTAGTCACTTTTATATAAAACAACACAAATGTATCGATCGACGGCAGCGACGCAAGCCGCAACTTATTCAGCACATGTTGGACAGACGAAGGCCATCGAAAAAAGGGTGACTACAGCATCAGGTCTCAAAAGGCAGTTCACTACCATCGCTGATGAAGCCAGTAGCAGTCTTTCAAAATTTTGACCTTTCGAAGCGAGTGGCCGCGTTCTTTGCTGCGTAAGTTAGCGCCCAAAATAACTGCAATCGAAGGACTATCAATGACGTAAATTTGCCGTTGCAGCGAGCCCCACGCACGCATATTTTGACTTTTGGCAACAGCCAAGGCGCAATGTAAGGTGAGAACGCTTCGAAGAAGGTAAAATGGAAATTGAATGATCATCTGGCTAGGTCCTCAGTTCGTCTCGTTGTACTACTGTCGATATCGACTCTACAAAATTAGGAACAAAACGATGAGTCGATTCCATCGTTACACACAATCACGTAGTGTCATCCATGTCATGTGGTCAACAGAACTAGTAACCAACAAGGAAAAATGATACTCCACCTCGACTAGAAGTCGCTGATCTTGGCTTCGTCCAGCAGCGACTCGAACTTCTTCGTCGAAATTGGTTTGGTCAGATAATCTGCGAGCTGTGACTTCATTTTGTAACGGGGTGCCTCCGTTGCGTGATCATTTACACAAGGTAATTATCACGCATGAGAATTATGTTGGGATAAACTTATTATTATCACAATATTATCCTAATGGATAATTTGCTTCGCACATGTAATGCACAGCTCATTGGCTGATACAAGACCAAGATATCAACCAACAAAGTCTAGCCACGACAGAAGCACGCAATGAGTGGTGGGCAGATAGTTACAAGACATGTTTGCATTTACACGTAGTTAAATGAAGTCGAATATGGAAATACTAAAGGATTAACTACACTAAATACTGCTCTACTTTTTACCGTTACTGAGTACTCTTACTCCGTTTGGCAATCTTCCTCTGCACGTGCGTGTACGCGATGTAGTTGGACGCACACATCCTTGCACTTTCAGCAGTGCAAGGTTTATTCAGTTAGCTATATAAGGTGTGACCCGCTACAGTTTCAGCATTCTGTAGGTCGATAATCTTGTCTTTCACTTGTTCGCGCACAAAATGTTGCCTGATGTCGACATGCTTCGCTCGACTTCAACAGCCGTCGTTTTTAGCGATGGAAATCGAACTCTGGTTGTTTTCATGAATCGTGACATCCTAACTGATCTGCACTTATATCTCCTCAAGTAAAGTTCTTGTCCAAAAAATATCCTGGACTCACAAAAAAATAAATAGCCTCATACTCTGCTTATGCCGTGCTCAGTGCCACGCTCTGCTGCATCTTCGACTTGTGAATCACAGGTGCGCCTTTATTATGACCGAGATTCCAGAAATCGACCTACGATTTCACTTGTTACTTTCCTTGTACGCATCCGCGTTCTCACTTAGCTGAAGATTGCCTAAAACTTCTTCATTGCAGATTTCTTTGCCCTTCGTTAAATTTACATATCGCAAAACTCGTATCACTGCATTCCAGTACTGTTCGTGCGGAACATCAAATGAAGACTCAGTTGACATACCGCATACGCGATGTCTGGTCATGTGCCTGTTGTCACATACAACAGCTGCCTTGCTAACGACCGATACGGTCGATTCTTCTTTTTTGTGTCAATTTTGTTCATCCTGATCATCGCTTGTCCTTCAACACTTAAGTCGATACTGCTTTTGTATCAACATGATTATATTTCTTGACCGTTTTTGATGTAAACGACCTTTGACTGAATTTCATATGTTGACTATCGTGCAGGTAGTTGCTTTCGATTCCGAGAACGTACCGAAAGCCACCCAAAATCTTCGTCTGAAAACGACTTGACAGTCGCGCTGCCACATCTTCCATCGCACAAGTCGATTCATCCCCAATTGGAAGATAGTCCACGTACAATGTGGAGTTAATCCACGAGGCCTTGGTTTCTTTGACGAGACGCATGGGTCTGCCGCGCATGAGGCGGACCCCATATCCACAAATACATACGAAATCGTCTTTTACCATGTTGCGGCCCCTTGTATAATCCCATGTAGGCTAAGATTGAACTTGAGCACTTTAGCACTTGATTACTTCCTACACTAGCAACCGGAGTGGGGTATACGTAAACATCTGCTTCCAAAACGCCATGTAGGAAGCGGTGTCGACATCTTATTGATGATTTAACATCCCCTTGTGACACCGCACCGCCGAAAATACTCGGATTGAGTTGAGGTTTGCCCCAGGTGAATATGTCTCCATGTAAACAACTCCATACGTCTGCCTGTATCCAAGTGCTACAAGACGTACCTCGTATCATTTAATCTTAACAAGGTCGTTCCGTTGATTCTGAAACCCACTTGGTTCCATTGCACGATAAGAACATCTGGAAAGCACGAACACTTTTTGTCTTGGACGCTGTGTTCGTGCTTTCCAGATGTTCTTATCGTGCAATGCCCCAAGCTCAGCGTGGATGGCCTTGTTCTTATCATTGCGAAGAATTAACTTGAGAGATTCTTTGCATGTCGCTGGGGTCTCGCACGCTGTACATGCTTGTTCATACCCACTAAGCAATCTCGTTGTGCCTACTTCTTTACACACTTCAGTTCTGTCCGAAAAGTTCACACCTGCACCACCTATCGGTACTAGCTCTCGAGATTTTCCATTTTTCACCGATCCTAATGAAACCATTGCTGTTTCTTGAGATGTTTAAATACGTGTTCGTAGACTTGATCTTATCGCCATCTTCCCTGATCTCGACATTTTTTAACAGATTCTTTACTTTTACAATCATTGTCACATCATCAAATCTCAAACAGGGTGTAACGGGGTGAATCGTTACATAACAATTTATAAGAAATTGTTAATAGAATATAACTATAAGAGTTATATTCTCAGAATATTGTCATAAGGACAATATTCTGTAGCACTTCCAAGTAGTTCCTAATTGGTTGATATAGGCCATTATATCAACCAACGAAGACGCGCCACGACAGACGCACGCAATGAGTGGTGAGCAGATAACTGATTTACACATTTGTATTTAGACATAGTTAGATGAAGATAAATAGTGATTTATTGCAGACATTAACTATTATAAATACAGTTCTACTTTTTACTCTAACCAAGTACTCGCTTCTTCTTACCGTCTTCCTCTGCACGTACGAGTGTACGTGAAGTTACGAGGCACCGCCTTATTCTGTTATCAGAATAAGTAGCTTGTACTGTCACCAGTACAAGCTTCAGGGTGCCCCGTTACACCTGGTAGCACTTCGTAGTCCGTCCAAGGACCGCGTTCACATCCAACATGAATATGTTGGATGATGAAGATGACCAAAGCTTTCACGCTACGCGTGACGGCTACTCCCATTTGAGCGATGTCGAATGGGATGCGGTTGAACGAATGGGTTCGACCATGGGCATCCATGCTGCTAGCGTCATGCTAGAGGCTCTCAATAGAGATGCCCAACATGCTACTATCGCCAAGTTCATTCAAAATGAACTTGACGCAGAACGCGAGAAAGTAGCCTTGCTTCACCAACAAGGTTCTCAACAAGCAGAGTTGTTGAGAGAACAAGGTGCTCAACAGTTTGAACTGTTGAGACAGCAGCAGGCTGCTGCTGGCGGGTCGATGCATTCGCGTCGGCCCGAGACTTTGAAGATTGACATCTCAAAGTATAGGGGGGTCGAAGAAGACTCCCTCTTGAGATGGTTCGTCGAATTGGATGACGCCATAAGGGCGCGTCGCATCGACGACGGGGATATGCAAGTTGCATTTGCCCAGTCAAATCTGGCAGGACGTGCCAAGACTTGGGCACTGGGGCTCAAGCTGCACGACCCATACGCGTTTGGGTCGTTGGAAGTCTTCAAGTCGCGGCTCAGACAAACGTTTGAACCGCCTAGAGCTGAGTTCAGAGCTCGAA